ATTTTATTGGTTGCCTTGATTATCCAAGTATAAACTGTGTGTTTTTGTTTGCTTGTAGATTTATTGAGAATTAAGGTAGAGATTTGTTGTGTTTTGATACCAATAAATCCGAGCAATAATGTAAAACAGTTGTCGAATTATTTAGCGACACCATAGACTTGACTCGACTCGACTCGGAAATGACCTATACTTTTGGATGGCCCAAGTCTAAGTTTGAATGGTTATGTTGTTAGCCCATTTATGTGGTTAGTCGTGGGAATTATTTGGCAGCCCATTTAGTGGACTTTGTGGCTCATTTTGGAGNAGTGGAGAGGAGAGGCAACCATGGAGAAGAAAGGGCAGTCAGGTTTTGTTTGGTGGATTTATTGGTGAGTTCCAACCATTGTTATTCTCTTCTCCTTCCTCCCTGTGTGGGCTTGCAATCATCACCGTTATATCTCCTTCATGGAAATGAAACTTGGAGCAAATAAGGTGTAGAAGTTTTGGGTGGAGCCTTGATAGTGTGGTGTTCGTTTGGTTGTTTTCTGAGCCCGGAATCAAGGTTTCCCAAGGGATTTTTTTTCTCCACAAAAGGCATACCAAAAAAACACAAGATAGTCGACAAAAATGATGACAAAATATCATCATCCCTATGTAAGGTCATAACACTAATAGGTTTATTTTGAGAGTCACTCTGACAAAAATCTTTTGGAAAAGGCTTTCAGGAGAACGATAACGAATGTGCAAGAACACCTTCTATGTTTTGGGGGAAAAAACAAGTAAACACTAGCACAATAGTTTTACAAATAAATCCTTGCCATTGAATCCCAACAAACTCAATCATAACCTTCCAAAAGTGAAATAATCTCAATTGTTGAATAGAAAAGAGACAACCATGCAAACGGCCCATATCAAGCTTACGCCCCCACACGCATAGAAATACATGCACATTGGAAAATGATAAAGAGGGCAATTATGGAGGAGTCATTTCGTCTAATCAACGCATCCACTATCATCAATGCATCGAAAGACCAATGCATGTCACTTTCCTAACTTCACAAGTTCAATACTTAACATAAATAGTTAAACTTGAACTTCGGAGAACATTGTTTCCAAATTTCTTTGTTTTTTAAACAAATGTATCAAATCAAGAAATTCAAGTAAAACTTTGAGTTCGCCTATTAAGAAATCTTTGAAGCCTATACCAACAACAAAATTTAGACAAATCCACCTTCAGACCTCCCTTGATAGAAAATCTCAATTAAGTCCTAAACCTAAGATAAATTACTACATTCGGATTTCAGGAACTATTTTTTGTCAATAATTTGACTAGAAATCATAACCAAACCATGAAGTAACCTGGCGAACATTCATAACACGAAGTCTCAAGTGACCTAGAATATGAAAAGCGAGCCAAAATACTTGATCGAATAGATGAGACCCAAATCAGTGAATAAAACATGAATGGATAACATATTTACTTATAAGTCAACCAATCAATGGCTGCTATGTGTCACCAACAATAAGAAAGACCCATTTATCTCCAAGGCCTGGTTAAAAATCTAAAAATAGGCATAACCAGGAAGAGAGAAAGAGAGCATGCAAATTTAAGTAGTTTCCTCTCAAATAGTCGTTTCTTTTTTTACTCTTGTTTAATCATCGGATCAGAGAGTTAGGGGGGAAACCTTTTCTAGGTGAGGAAATTTGTTGACCAATATTTTATGATCAACGCAGCATATGTTCATATGATAGTTGAACCCCAAAGCCCCTCCCTTTTTTATTTTTAGCTTAACATTTTGGTACTCATAAAGATGACGGGTCGGCTTGTGTATTCTTCTATCCAGTGTCTTGTTAATCCCTCAAAAGTTCTGTAGATAAATGAACTCCAAGTTGCACCAAGAATCCGGGCTCAGTGAGTTAGATCGATCACCATAATCTATAAACACAAACCAACCTTAAACCCTCAAAACCGGTTGCTATAGGTTTCTGCCAACCAAGGAATGAAAAATGGAGGATATAATAGCCACAAAAATCAGCCACCAAGGCTGAAGAAAAAGAAAGAAACAATAGCACAGCAGTGAGCACGAAGCAAGAAGGTAAAGGACACAAAGCAAAGCCAAAACCGCCACTTTTCTTCTCAANATACGTCTAAATTGTCATCAAGATTTTTTGAAAAATCCATTTTGAAACTGAAAAACACTCAAGTAAGTAAATCTTGTTTTGAGTAGATTTGAGCAAATATAGGTCTTCCATTTTTTTCCAAATCTATTTAGTAGTTTTCAATTTATCCACTTTTCTCAAAACTGCGTCAGCCAAGTGTAAAATAATTGAGGTATAAACAAGCTCATCAGATTCTTCTTTTTGTTCTTTTGAAAAATCAATGGGAAAGTTGTCATCAATGGCTTTTGAAATCTTTTGTCGAACCAAAATACATCTCATTTTTTGTTGTCAAATAGAAAAATCATATTTTCCATTAAAAGTTCCCAAATCAAAATTGCACATTGTCATTTTTAATCAAAAAATACAAGGTCACAATTAAGCCACACAAAGTAGACCAAGGTTCGCAAATATATACCATTTTTTATTTTCAAGGTTTCGTAAGATTCACGATCTTAGATCAAGAGAATTTTCAAATAGGTAAGGTCTAGGTATTCTAATAACTTAACAGTGCAACAAGAGATAGGTCAACTAAAACAGTTTCACTCACAATATATCACAAAAGATAATATGTTGCAACATTTATCAAATGAACAAATTTCAAACACGTAGTAACGAAGAGCAAATAGTTCCTAATTTCTAGAACAAGCAATGGTTACCCTACACGGTAACCCAAATCATATTGTCACCCCACACGATGACGCGCTAGTGGTGAAATTTAAACAGGATTAGCAAAATTTACCAGAGCGGACCTGTTTGAGTCCGTAAATTTCAAGAGATGCGAATTTACTGCTTTAGGGCCGCAATTTTATGCCTAAAGTAATTCAGGGCGTGTTCAGTAAAGATTAAAATCGGATCAAAATTGAAAAATTAGCTGTTATTGTTGACTTTTATTAGATGAGTAGGACCCAATAACGGCTATATTTTCAATTTTAATTGAATTTTAATTTTTACCAAACAAGCACTCAGTAAATTTATTGCAGTTGCCATCATCAACCCACCAGGGCAAAATAGTCCAACTTTTCCTGCAAATTCTGAAATACGAAAACAATAATATCAGTACGTGCACCACCCATGGATGCGCCACAACCTGCAGAGTATGGGTGTGGTCTCTGATTTTCCGACAGGTCACTAGTTTGGCCGGAATCGAAGAAAATAGGTTCGATTTTTTAGGGAAAACTCGTGAGTGCCTCTTCTTCTCCGTCGATTTTTACAAGGATTCAATCCAACTCCGGCTCTGATACCAGATGTAGAGAAATGGACTCCATGTTGCACCAAGAATCCGGGCTCAGTTAGTTAGATCGATCACTACAATCTGTAAACCCAAACACAAACCAACCATAAACCCTCAAAACCGGTTGCTATAGGTTTCTGCCCACCAATGGCTGAAAAATGGAGGATATAATAGCCACAGAAATCAGCCACCAAGGCTGAAGAAAAAGGAAGAAACAATAGCACGACAGTGAGCACGAATTAAGAAGGCAGAGGACACAAAGCAAAACCAAAACCGCCACTTTTCTTCTCAAACAAAAGGCTAAATAATAATCTCTCAAATAGCAACAGTAACGGGGCACAAATATATAAGGTTGGATATAGGCTTTTAGGGTTAGAACACAATTAGGCCCAATAGGAAATAATAAAGCCCAATAAGAAATAAATGGGCTATCAACATATAAAAGCCATCCAGGTTTTGGGTTCGACCATGAGCAGCACTAATCCAATTAGGCTGCTTTAAATTGCCCGAGTGGATTACGTGATTGGTTTACCAATTGTGGTGTCGATATACATTTAGTCATTTGGTCGATGCCGACTGAAATAAATGATACTTACATCATTGTCTAGTGAGATCGTTTGACAACAATTTGCGTAACAAATTCAAATTCCTAGCTGTATGAAAGTATCATAATGAAAGTTTCCATAGTTGTGGTATGTAGCACCTGCCAAGCACTCAAAATCAAGTCCTCTATGAAGTTTCCTCCAAAATTTTGTATCGGTTCCATTAGTGGTCTTGTAAGTTTGAAAGAGAAATTTATCATCCAAACCTGATCATAACCATATTTGAATGCATGAAGTATACAATTCTCCAACTTCAAATCACGTTAGTCTTTATGTAGGATAACACCACCACTCGTGCTTACTCATGTTACTTTCAAATAATTTTAAGCAAATAAGTACCAGGACTCTATTTTTTGTAGTTTAAAATAAACAAAGTATGGGTCTCAACAATAAAGGTAATGCTACATGTACACACACACTTTTACACAATCTTTTACACCACTCTCACATGGAGGGGGGTCCACGATTATTTTATTATGTGTGGGCCCCCTTCCATGTGAAAGAGGTGTAAAAAATTGTGTAAAAAATTGTGTACACTTAACATTATTCCAACAATAATTGTGGCTCGTCATTTTTTTATTTTTTAAAAAGTAATTTGTAAGTATAAACAAAAAAGCTTACGTCCAATTAACCTGGGCTTACCCACCTCCGGGAAATGGGCCAACCGCTACGGGCCACGGGCAGTATATCTTATTCTTGCAGTTTTATATAATATCAATCGATGCTCCTAAATTTTAATTAGTTGCATTCAAGGACAATACTAGGGGTACATAAAGATCTACATAAAGGTCTACATAATGCATATGTGGCATGTGATCCCACCTTTAATTCAAATATGACACTTACACATCAATCACCGGATGATTGCCACATCTGCATTATGTAGACCATTATGTAGATCATTATGTACCTTTAGCATTATCCACGTTGAAACCCTCCACTTGCAACAAAATCTATGCAAACAAACATTCTCACATATTCAAAACCAGCAAAAACAGATAGACAAATCAGAAAAAAAGGCAGAAAAAATGGGGAAAGATCTGAGCAATGACCAGGTTTCCTCCATGAAAGAAGCCTTCACGCTGTTCGACACAGACGGCGACGGCAAGATCGCCCCGTCGGAGCTGGGAATTCTGATGCGTTCACTCGGTGGCAACCCGACTCAGGCCCAGCTCAAATCCATAATTGCCGAGGAAAATCTGAATTCTCCTTTTGATTTTAATAGATTTTTGGACCTGATGTCCAAGCATTTGAAGCCTGAGCCGTTTGATCGCCAGCTAAGGGATGCTTTCAAGGTGCTGGACAAGGATGGGACTGGGTATGTTGTAGTTTCGGATCTCAGGCATATTTTGACAAGTATTGGGGAGAAATTGGAGCCCTCGGAGTTTGATGAGTGGATTCGAGAGGTAGAGGTTGGATCCGATGGCAAGATCCGGTACGAGGACTTCATTGCCCGCATGGTTGCCAAATGAGAAGAAATTTCTCCCGCCCGTGCGAGTTTATAGGTCGCAAATTTCTTACGTTTTCTTTTTCCCTTTTTGTTTTTCAGTTTTTACTCGTTTTCATTTTTGCATAATAATTTAGTTAATGTCACCAAATACAAAGGTCTCGGAAATGATCAATTGTCACGCATGATTGTGAAAATTTCTTGTAGTTGTGTGCTGATGCGTCTATATTAGGTATTAGCAGATTTGAGGGATTGTGAAATTAAAAGTTCGGCAGAAGTGGGAGAATTTAAATTGAAAACTTGTAGGAAATTGCTTGGAAAAGTAATTAATATGAATACCATCATTGGATAATTTAGGAGAACGAGAACTCTAATATCTTCCTAATTGTTGCAAAGCGATAACTTATGATTACATGCAAGAGGATGATTACTGTACTGATGTACTCATGAGTGTGGTTATCACACAGTTTAGATGTTGCACTTGCCTAACTTGCAAGTGCAGCTAACTTTTCCCATGAATGAAAAGGTTGTGGTGGTGCATTATACCCTGATCCGATATATATTTCATTCATAGTTCTTCTCCATTCTTCCCCTCAGCTACTTTTTATCCCTCAGTATTGGCACTACGAAGAGGGATGTGTGATTGTGTCTGCATTTGAGATTTAAGTTGAAAAGGCGAAACAAAATGTGAGGACATTATATGTGTTTCTGAAAAGTAAAAAAGAAGTTTCTTTATGTTTGCAAATCTAGAAAAGAAATAAAGAAGAGTAGGTTTCTTTTATTTTTTTCAATTTCGAAGTTATCAATGAAGGGGAAATGAAGGTGATGTGACCTGGCTCTACCTCTAAGCCAATAGGAAGAATAAAATTGGTGGAACTCAAACGAAGAGCTAGAAAAGTTAAAATAAATAAAATAAAATATTATCCTACTTATTGTTCCCACTTTTACTTTCAACTCTTGGAAGGAACACTGATATGAAGGAAAACTCTTATTCTTGGACTTCCTTTCTTCTTCCTCCTTAAAATTTGCAAATTGAGGAAAATGTTACTTCTATCTCTTCCTTGTCATTGTACCCATTAAATTAGTTTTCAGTCGTACAACTTCCATATTGGATTGTGATAAGATATCCATTTATACTGGCATTTAATTAGGGTCCGTTTGACGTGATTTTTCCTTTTACTTTTTGTAGAAGATCTTTTGAAGGAAGTTATCTTAATTTTTAATTGAAAAATAATTTGTAAAAGCACTTTTATAAACTAGCAGAACGGATTCAAAAGAAGATTTCGAGTCTTAGAAGCTCTTTTAACATTTCAAAAGTCATTAATTTTTAAAAGAATTTTCTATTTTAGAAGTGCTTTTATAGGAAGTCACAATAGACTAGTTTCCTCTAAAAGCTTTTCTAACTACTGCAAGCTAGTCCATAAAATTAGTCAAACAAATCCAAAATCAACTTTTGAATCTCAAAAGCTCGTTTTGGCTTTTCGAAAGCCATGTCAAATGGGCCCTCATTATGATCTCTTATTTCAATGTGAAAATTTCTTACTATAGACAAGACGTTGCTAAAGAAGTTAACACTACTAACGTAGGATGCAATCAAACAATTATAGGAAAAGGGGAGAGACGAAGAGACAAGGAGGCGAAAAGAGAAGAAGATTAGGAGATATAAGAAGGGAGATAGAAATTGGAGATTAATTAGACAAAATGAAGCAGAATTTAGAAGAGATGAAATATTTTTATTTCACTATCAAAAGTTGTATGAATTACATTGCATAAGTCCCCCCTTTATATAGAGTTCAAATTAGTCCTAATTGAAGTAGGAAAATACGAAGGGTCCGTTTGATTGCAAATGTGGAAAATGAGTGGAAAAAAATGAATTTTAGGGAATTGAATTACCTAAAAATTGTTTTACTGAGAATTATAATTAATTGTGTTTGATTTGTATAATTTTCCACCTGGAAAATGTTGAAAGTTTGGTGTCCGTTTGGCTTTATTTTTCATGAAAATTGTCCATTAAAATGATAATTTCTTTTACCCTTGGGTCTAGAATTTGTTTAACTTGCCAAAAAAAAAAGTTTAAAAAAATTACCATACCGAATTCCATTCATTTGATTTTGTTTTGTATGAAAATTATCAATAAAAGTGATAATTTTTTTCATCATTGGGTCTAGAATTTTTCTCTATTACNCCACATAAAAGGTGGGAAAACAATTTCAACAAAAATGTGGAAAATGTGCTTCCTATCAAACACTACAAAAGTTGGAAAATGTTGCCCATCAAACAGGGCCTAAAAAATTTATAAAATAAACCCTAATTAAGCCCCTGTTTGCTTACCATTATGCCAAAAAATTGTTTGCTATAATAAGATTCTCCACCATATATTCACCCAATAAAATATTCTACATACAAACCAATAAAGTTATTTTAAATTTCAACCACATTCTCTAAAAAATACTATTCATTACTCTATTTTTCTCTCAAGTAATGGGAGACAAACACGCCCTAAGTTTTCTAAAATAAACATCAAAATTGGTACCTGAATTAAATAGTCTCTTCTAATATTCTATAATTTCTTCCCAAATGAGAGAACTTGATTCCAACGAGATAGACTGCAATTTTTTTAACCAATGAGGGCGATCTTTCTTCCTGACCAAATAACGGAATCAACCATGTGACGGCAAGTGAATTCTTAAATCATCCTCACGAATATGATGCGACCAAGAGGGTAATCTTTTCTTTTAACCTAGTAGTGACAAGGAACTCCAAAAAGCAACATGTGCAACTCATCCACAAAAATTATTACAAAATCCACATGAGGAACACAATGCACTGGCACATTAGATTGACGTGCAGAAAAGTATTGCAATAACGGTGACTCGAATGTGCCTCGACAATGAAATAAATTTGCTATATTGAAACAAAACCTTTATTTAAGTGTGATAACCAATCAAATAGAGTAGGTTCAAGTGCATGATTGAATTTTTATTATTATTATTATTTTTACATATTTATGTGACAACGCTATAAGTAAATCCTCAACTATGTCATGTTTAATTATGTTGAAGCCTCATCCACGCTATCAGAATATTCGATAGGTGTAACAATAATAATCTCATTATATTCCTTAAGAGTAACACAACTAGATTTGGGAGGTGAACATCAGACTAGGGTGGTAGACATAGCATATGTCATGCTGGGTGAAGACAGAAGGATATATGACAAACTTGAGAAACAAAGACGCTATAATGTGGGGAGCTTCATAAATATCATTTTTGCATTAGCCCTTTGAAGTGGACTGTATATCGTTAATAGTAGTTGTACCTTGTTTACGGTACAAAAAGAATTGATCTAGCAATTGAGTTCTATAGTACTTCGGGATGTATTTATTACTTAATACTCGTTTCATCTTATCCGACAAAGTAACAGGCTTACGAGGTCAATGTCATACAAAATGACTTCCAAAAATACTTGGCAGTTCCGAAAAGTGACATATTAGTATGACAAAGATGACGTGAGTCGCTCAAGTTGTTATATTCAAAGAATTTTTCAAAAAGTATTGAGCCAATAAAAAAAATGAGACGGGTCCAGTAAGCCAATCGAAGTCCTATTGACACTAAGTAACTTGCCTAGAAGGAGAATGTACATCCCTAACAAAGTTCCTATGGAGGATAATTGTGTTGATAAGTGGAAGGGAAATGTACATGATCATGGTAGTGACCTAAAGATGTGTTATAGGTGTGGTAGTGTTATATGGATTGTAAATGTTATTATGCCCATGTTTGAGCCTCATTATTTTTTTCATTCTCATTCTTCTACTCATTTTCAACCTCACATTCTTGAATAAAATAATATTTTCCATCACGTGAATGACTTTTTATTCTTTTTCAACTTCATATTCCCCATCACATCAAATAAAAAAATGCATTCTTGGACTCAAAATGTGCACCAAACAGGGACTAAATGATGCTTTTTATTATTAGAAGTATTTTGTGTTTTTATGTTTACGAAGAAAAAGGATTTTGATTTACTGACTGATTTTTGTACCTGTAAATTGTTGTTGCCATGTTTGAATACTGATTGAAACTTCAGGAAATTTGTTTGGCTAAAGGAAAACGACTTGGGCTTTGATGCCAAATTGACGTAGGAAAAATATTATAATATATATGGAATCAAGCTTCCTAAAATAAGCAGCAAAATTGAAAACTAAAGAAGTTAACACTACCTTTCAGTGTCACATTGTATAAGTTGCATGATGATTTCCCAAGTCACCTGACTTTGCTAGGTGAAGCAAGAATAATATTCTTAATATCAATGCTAGTTTGTGTTGCATTTGGATGATAAGGAACGACCAACATATTGCACTAATGCTATTTTTGTTGCCAAGAAAAAGAAGGGAAAAGATTAGGAATTTCAAGACCATTCATTGATGCAATTTTAAATTTGAAATTAAGTTTTTGTGTTTTCCATCACCTAACATGAGTTTTTTCATTGTACGATTGTATTTCTAAGGCAAACTGGTGGAATGGAAAGGTTAAATTTTGATCATTTTCATTTGTTAGTTAAAGATCACGAAAATGAACTGATTCGAGACTAAAGAAGTGTATGCTGGAGAAACTCACGAAACTTCACTTTCTCACTCAGATTAAGTGGGAGCTTATGAAGGGAAGACGAAATTTTTAATTATGCATTTAGCTTCTTGCTTCTGTGATCAGTTCATTTCCTTCTCGCTTACGCAATCCTTTCCCGCTTCACCGCACAATAAAAAAAGACAAATTCCTGCATAATATAGTTGTTTACAAATTATTACATTTTTAAATTGAATTTTTTTTGAGTTTATATATATATCAATGAAATTTCTTTTGTCTTTTTCCTGTTGAGGAATTTGGAACCGTTAATGAAAAAGATAAATATTTGGGGAGTCAAATAGGCTTTTTGGGGATAGAGGGACTTGAACCCTACTTTTTAAGGCATTTTCATTCCTCCTCGAATGAAAATAGAAGTGAAAATTCCCTGTTCATCTATGATGAGGATAGTGGCTGGACTATGAAATCAAGATCACCTGAGCTTATGCACTCCAAAATTTCAGAAAGGCAGAGATAGGAACGGTTTAACTCCTAATCTCACCTTATTCAGAAAAATGCTGTNATTTTCAACCTCACATTCTTGAATAAAATAATATTTTCCATCACGTGAATAACTTTTTATTCTTTTTCAACCTCATATTCCCCATCACATCAAATAAAAAAATGCATTCTTGGACTCAAAATGTGCACCAAACAGGGACTAAATGATGCTTTTTATTATTAGAAGTATTTTGTGTTTTTATGTTTACGAAGAAAAAGGATTTTGATTTACTGACTGATTTTTGTACCTGTAAATTGTTGTTGCCATGTTTGAATACTGATTGAAACTTCAGGAAATTTGTTTGGCTAAAGGAAAACGACTTGGGCTTTGATGCCAAATTGACGTAGGAAAAATATTATAATATATATGGAATCAAGCTTCCTAAAATAAGCATCAAAATTGAAAACTAAAGAAGTTAACACTACCTTTCAGTGTCACATTGTATAAGTTGCATGATGATTTCCCAAGTCACCTGACTTTGCTAGGTGAAGCAAGAATAATATTCTTAATATCAATGCTAGTTTGTGTTGCATTTGGATGATAAGGAACGACCAACATATTGCACTAATGCTATTTTTGTTGCCAAGAAAAAGAAGGGAAAAGATTAGGAATTTCAAGACCATTCATTGATGCAATTTTAAATTTGAAATTAAGTTTTTGTGTTTTCCATCACCTAACATGAGTTTTTTCATTGTACGATTGTATTTCTAAGGCAAACTGGTGGAATGGAAAGGTTAAATTTTGATCATTTTCATTTGTTAGTTAAAGATCACGAAAATGAACTGATTCGAGACTAAAGAAGTGTATGCTGGAGAAACTCACGAAACTTCACTTTCTCACTCAGATTAAGTGGGAGCTTATGAAGGGAAGACGAAATTTTTAATTATGCATTTAGCTTCTTGCTTCTGTGATCAGTTCATTTCCTTCTCGCTTACGCAATCCTTCCCCGCTTCACCGCACAATAAAAAAAGACAAATTACTGCATAATATAGTTGTTTACAAATTATTACATTTTTAAATTGAATTTTTTTTGAGTTTATATATATATATATCAATGAAATTTCTTTTGTCTTTTTCCTGTTGAGGAATTTGGAACCGTTAATGAAAAAGATAAATATTTGGGGAGTCAAATAGGCTTTTTGGGGATAGAGGGACTTGAACCCTACTTTTTAAGGCATTTTCATTCCTCCTCGAATGAAAATAGAAGTGAAAATTCCATGTTCATCTATGATGAGGATAGTGGCTGGACTATGAAATCAAGATCACCTGAGCTTATGCACTCCAAAATTTCAGAAAGGCAGAGATAGGAACGGTTTAACTCCTAATCTCACCTTATTCAGAAAAATGCAGTTCATGGCAGTTGGTTTGCTAAGTGTGGAGGAGAGAACATTTAAGGGTAGGCTTGAAATACGAGGAAATTTGTTCAGTCAATTTCATTTTGTTTAATACACAGAAAATTCATCTATTTTATGCATTTATTCTAAAAGATCCCTATGCATAAGAAAAATACCCTAATTTGGAGTTTTAAGTTAGACATTAATAGGGAAGGTAAGCGGTTTTCCTCGATGTACTAAAAAGATCATGGAGCACTCAACCTTCACCAAGGAGGATATTTTTATCCTTTCTTTTACCTATCTCCTTGTCCAAATTTAACCTTATGCTGGAAAATGTCTTAAGGGAAACGGTTAGAATAAAGTCAGTGTATTTCTTGTCTGATTCTAATGAGAACATTTTATAGATGTGGAGCTTTATATTGAACATCTTGTTGCACGATTTTGGTTTGCATTGTCTATTCTGTTTTGTTGACCGAGAAAACATATTTTCTTATATTTTCGTGTTGTCTGTCATTCTGTAATTGATGTCTTCCCATGTGACTTGTATAGTTTGTTCTCATAAAAAAAATTTGTCATGTTTGATACTAGTTGTTGATATTAAATATTTAGTTGCTTGAGAGACTAATACACTCTTTATTTGTGACATTTATAATTGCAGGTAATCTGAATGGTTGTATTGTGCATTTGGGTGAGCAGGAAGCTGACTTTTCTTATAGTTTAGTTTTTTTCATTTGGCACGCAGAAGTGCAGTTTCATTTACCCACGTAATTCTGTTATCTGGCCTTTTGTTCGTTGGCAGAAAATTTGTTGTTTGGACGTTTGACGGAATATTATGTTTGATTTCCTGCAATTTAATCCCATTGTTTAGAATTTAGGACTTGCTACGAACAACCCTTATCAAATTGGTGAAATTGTGTGTATAGTTCAGATGATTTTAACCTTTAAGATGAGTGCTTCTTGTTTCATGAAACTGTGTATTGTTGAGTTGATATAAACCTAAAGATGAGTGCTTCTAGTTCTTGATCTAATATTTTTTTAGGTTCTTATTTGCATATAGCTTTTAATTCTTTTCTCTTCTATTATTTAGACAGTGACGTTGCAAGGTTAGTTACCATTCCGTTTTTAGTCAAAATTGTACAACTCTTCATTTTGGGAGTTAGTTGCTCAAGAACAGAAATCTATATGTATTGTTAAGGCTGATTAGTAGAGTTATCAAGTTCATTTACAATCTCTCTCGGATCCATTACTTCCATCTTCTAGAACTTGTTATGGTATCAGAGCAATCTCTAGCTTTGGCTTCCGATCATGGCTGCCTGATTCCTGGAGGTGCTCAGAATCCAACCTCTAGCTCGAGATCTTAATTCCGCCGGACAATCTTGCTAGTGCTTCTGTGATTACTGCACGGATCAGTTCTTGAATTATGGACGATCCGAACAGTCGATACTACTTTCACTATGGCAAGAATACTGGTACGTAGCTCATTTGTGTTCTCCTTTCTAATGAGAACTACTCCACTTGGAGCCGAGCAATAACCATGGCCTTGAGTGTCAAGAGTAAAGAAGGCTTTATTGAGGGCTAGATCTCGAAGCCAGATCTCAATGTTCTACTCTATATTCCATGGAGTACGTGTAATCATGTGATGTCTGCATGGATAATCAACTCGATCCCTAAAGAACTTTATCCAAGTGATGTGCATAAAGACTTTGCACGGGAAATTTGGCTTGAGCTTCATGACAGATACAATACGCCCCCTTCATGCATCCTTACCTTTTGTCTTGGAAGATGATTGTGGTACGAAAAATTGATGGTGGCCTCTACCATTTACAACTTCAACCATCTCAACAACATCAAACTACATTCTCCAGTACACCTTTCAGACTACAGTCACGTCACGTCAGCAGTAATAATCACTCCTTTGATCTCTGACATAGCACATTAGGTCATATCCTTAACTCTAGAATTTTTGTTATCAATAAATCTGTACCAAGAGGTACTTATTGAAACAAATTTTCATTCTACCATTTGTCCACTTGCCAAACAACATAGACTCCATTTTCTTATTAGTACACATGTATCAAACGTTATCCTTGAATTGATTCATGTTGATATATGGGGATCTTTTCATTATCTTTCTATTGATGGTTCCAAGTATTTTCTTACTATTGTAGATGATTATAGTAGGATTGTGTGGACATTTCTTATGAACAACAAATCTCAAACAAGAAACATCATCACGACTTTTTATAATCTGATTCTTACCCAATTCAACACCAAAATAAAACAACAAATATGGTCAGTTAATGGACTAGAGTTCCATAAGATAGATTTTTACCAGTCCAAAGGCATCATTCACCAACTCAGTTATGTTGAAACCCTCAACAAAATGGGGTGGTTGAATAAAAACACAAACACTTTCTCAACGTGGCTAAATCTTTAATGTTCAATCAAACCTTCCCAAACAGTTATGGGGTGACTGTATCCTTATAAATGCTTTAGGGAAGAATTCATGGATCAAGTTTTAATTATCACCAAATCAATTTTCAGGCTCTAAGTTTAAAAATTGCAAAAATAAGGTATTTATTAATTAATTAAACATATTAAAATCACAATTATACAATTCATGGTCATATATACATATTTATGAGTCATAACTTATTTATTGGTCACAAATTATTTTATGGTCACAGATTAAAATTTTCATAGGTCACAAATCAAAAAATTAATAGATCACAGGTCACAAATCACAAATATTATGAGTCACAACTTATTAGTCAGTCACAAATTATTAAATTATAGATCGCAAATTTATAATTTTTTAGGTCACATATAATTTCATGATCACAAATTATTTTTCATTGATCATATATTGTTTATTGATCACAAATTAACAAATTTAATAGTCACAGTCGACCAAATAATTGGCGACCACCACCAACACTTGCGACCTCTGGCAGCACCACTGCCTCCGACGCGCCAAACCACCACTGCCGCCAAACCACCGTTGCCAGAACCACCACCACCTCACGACAACTAAGAACATCGTAATCTCCATCTCTTCACCACAACCACTGCTTAACCATCACCAACACTTGAAACCTCCGACAGCACCACCGCATTCGGCGTGCCAGAACCACCACCACTATAGCCAAAACATCGTCTCCAGAACCACCACCACCTCACGACAACCAGTAGGAACACCGTACTCTCCATCTTTTCATTACCACCACCACCACCTCTTCCTCTTCCTCCTCACCACCACAACCACTAATAAACCATCAATTTTACTACAAAACCACCACCACACAAAACAACACACCACCCCAACCGCCAGATCTACCACCACAACCATTGCCATAAAAATTGCAGATCCACCATCGCAAAACCCCGCCACCATACAAACACCGTCGGGGCAACAATGCAACATCGTGGTCTTTTTAGGGTGAAATGGATTGAGGGTGGTTATGGGGTTGGGCGACGAAGGCAGATGGCGGTAATAAAAAGGTGAGGAGTGATTGATGCTTCTGTCGCATCACGCACAGTTTCACCGTCGCGATTGAAGCTCATGGTCGGCGATATGGATTGACGATGGTAATGGGGCTGGTAACGGAGGGCGTGCAGGGACAACGAAAAGGTGAGGAGTTCGTGGTCGAAAGAGGCGGCGGCGACGAGGGGAAGGTGAGAGAGAATGGAGGGGGGCGATTGGATGGGTTTAGAGAGAGAATTGGGAAAATATTTGAAGCCCGATGTGTTTAGAGAGCAAGAAGAATGAGACGGGGGAATGGAAATAAATTAGGGCTTTAATTATAAATTCAATTAATACCTGATTTTTGATTAAATAAACTTAACATCTGATTTTTGAATTTGAAAAATTAAATGTCTATTTTTCTGTAGTGTAAATTATAAAAAGAGGAAATTACACCCAGACTTGGAATTAGATTTCCAATTTCACAAATACTTTAACATTTCACAAATCAGTTTTTAATTAACAATTTAAAAACATTTTTTTCACAAATAAGATCACAAGTTTAACATTTCAAAAATCAGGTTTTAATTAATAATTTAAAAACATTTTTTTATTTTTATTTTTATATTTATATACAATAAAATAATTTGACCTAACCAAACCCTAAATCATTTGAACCAATTCTTCCCCTACTCTCTCTTTCACCACCCCGGCAGCCGCCTCATCTCTTCTCCCGTCTCTCAACGTCGCTGCCGCTACGACGTGGACTCTTCTTCCACTCATATCCCGTCTCTCAACTCTCCCCCTTCTCTCTACAACTCTCATTCTATCTCTCGTCTCCCCGGCTGCTACAAAGCCACCGTCCACAAGATGCTGCCGGCGCTGCCCTCACCAGCACCGCACGATGGACGGCAATAGCTCACGACGTCTGGGTTCTTTGAGATCAACTCCGTTGCCGGTGGTGATTATCTCCACTCCCTACAGCCGTCTCTATCCCTCACTCATCTCGATCCGCTCACCTAGATCCCATTTGAAATCCCTAATTTGAAATCCGTATGTTGTTTTTGAAATGAGGTTTGTATGTGGTTTTTGTGTTGATGTTAGTGGTGTAGAGGGGCGATGGTGTCGTGGTTGTTGTAGCTGGTTGGATTTGGTGGTGGTGTCGTGTTAGTAGAGACGACAACCGCCACTGCTTAGTTTGTGGGTTGTGATTTGAGGCAAGTTGTGGTGGTGGATGACGGTGGATCTGGCGATGGTGAGGCATTGGTGATGGTGAGATGTTGGTGAGGTTGTGGGTTGGGTATTGTAGGTGTGCGTGTTGGGTATTGTGGGTGTGCATGTTGGGTATTGTGGGTGAGGTTGTGGGTTGGGTATTGTTGGTGAGGTTGTGGGTTGGGTATTGTGGCTCTGTGCGGTGGTGGTGTTTGACAGTGGCTCTATGTGTTGGGGAGGGTGTGGTGTTGGTTTTGAGATGTTGATGGTGCCGCTGGTGGATGCGGTGGCAAAGTGGTGGTCACAAATAATTTGGTTGTTTGTGACCACTGATTTGGTTGATCGGCGACCAATAAATAATATGTGACCAATGAATTAGATAAAATGTGACCAATACATGATGTTTGACCTAACAATTATTAATTTGTAACCAATAATTTGATAAATTGTGACCTAAATATAATTTATGTTCAATTAATGTGATATTTGTGACCATAAATAAGTATTGTGACTTATAAATTTGGTGTTCTGTGACCGATGCATAAATTGTGACTTTCAAAATTTTAAATTGTGATCGATAAGTAAATTATGACCTATGAAAATTTTGAATTGTGATCTAAAAATTTTCGCCAGAGTTGAAACACTTGTCAGAATCGGAGTAGTCGCCGGAACAAAGTGGCGGTGGAATGGTCATCGAAATAGTCTTCGGAATCGGAGTAGTCGGAAGGTCACTGAAGATGAGTTGTGACCGGAACGGTAATCGAAATAGTCTCCTAGAGCGGTAGAGGTGGTGGAGGTGGGGTGGGGTAATTATATTATATTTGAATTAAATATTTAATAATAAATTGATATAATAATTCATTATT